ATTATGTGCTATAGTTTTATCCTCCAAATGGATGATATTTATTTCAGAGTAACTTTATATTTTTCTCATGAGAAATTATATAAATGTCTAATGTTGTGTCGGCGAACTCAGGCATTCAGTTTTCATAAATCTTACCATTGCGAAAGAATCAAAATGAAAACTCTCATCGTAAGGCAATGAAAAAAAGTTGTAATTTGATAACTCTTGCGTTTTGTAACAATTGGCAAATGGGGCACCTGTGTCAATGGCAAAAAATGTAGGGATCTTTCTAAAATAATTGAAAATAGTACGAGATTATGTAAAGAACCGAACAGATCGGGTGATTATGTCAATAACTAAAATTGTGAGGGACATAACAAGTTAACAACCGAAACTATAGGGAACTTTTTGTAAATAACCAAGAACTCAGGAAATATATAATAAAATAACTTGGGCTGGAAAAATGAAATATTTAGGGCCCAAATATTTATCGGCCCACTTTCTGAAAAAAGATTTATAACACAAAAGAAGCTGTACAGTAAGTTCTAAGCATTATTAGCGTTGTTATTATTCCATGTCGTAACATATAAATGCTTAATGCTTAAAGCTATTCACACAAGTCGCTGATTTCATTTGGAGTTGCTTAGGTTTTTCTACCTGAGGGCTTATTAGAAGCAGGACCTCGCTTGGCGTACAAGGAGCCAGCTGCTGATACATCAGAAGGCAAAGAGACCGTTGCAGAGAGAGACTGGAAATTGGTGCTCCCAATGAACCAATAGAGAGCCCATTTGAGGTTGCAGAGAGTATACTTTAGTGCTTTGGTCCAAGTCTCTTGCTTGTTGAAGCTCTGTGTTATTGAATATGTATCCACTTTGTCATTGTCGATCCTGCAAATGGATTTTTATATAAGAAAATAAACTCTTAAGGGTGTGCTACTCGGTAACAGAAATTTGATTTTGGCTGGCTTTTAGGAGAGTGGGGACTTACTTGTATGGAAGTTTTAGGCATTTCTCTAGTGGAACATTGTTCTCTCGATCCTGTGCGTTTGCGAAATCGGCAAAGTCTTTCAGACATGTCAAATACAATGTCATGGCTTTATCGTACCGAGTGCTCCAGAAAAGGTTCACAGGTCCAAACCTGAAGAAGATCATCATCAAAACAGCTTTTCGTCAAAAATGCTCAAGAAAGAAAGACGAATCTCACCAAAAGATTCACGTAAAAATCAACACAAGAAATCTCTTTTGAGTCTAAAGCATCTTGAGAATTCCTTACAGCTCATAAGTGTTGTTGGTGCTGTCCACAATTCTTGGATAACTTCCCATAGGTTGTATTTTAACTCGAGATCTTTAAAAGGGTTAAAGACAAACTCCATAAAACAGTAAATAGTATCAAACAGAAAACGATTAAAGAAAAGGATTGCGAGATAATAACAAAGGATACTGAAACTTTGGCCGGAAGTAGTTACACATCGTGTGGAGGAGAAGACAAGCTTGGCCCCAAGCTGCATTTATCTCATCCCACTCGACCTTAAAAATGTTTCATGTGACGTTAAGTATAGACTTCATATGAGCACTATGAGGTTATGATGACATACAGAGGGAGCTCGCAAAGCTTACCGGTACTTTAGGGAGTCTTCCAAGCCGAAACTTGTTGATTGTACCAAAATCTCCATCACTTCGTATGGGAAAGGCATCCATCAGCACGTTTGTCTTATTCAATAACTCTAAATGTGCTTGTGAAACTTCAATCTTTGCCAAGATTGCATCTCTCTCTTCCTGTTAACAAAGACACAGTACTGACTACATAAATCTAATCAAAAGCTGTTAACACTAAGGAAAATCTACATGAACCTTTCAAAGCATCATTTACTGAAATGAGGGAAAAACCTAAGATTATCACCAGCAACGCACCTGGTGGGCTATTAGTTGAAATTGAAAATTGTTGAACTCTTGCCAATACCTATAACACAAAGAAACCAAAAACGTTATAGAAGCATATATGTGAGAAAATAAGTGATAGCACTGAAGGGGAACAGTGAGAGAGCCTAACCGATCTTCCAGCTCATTAAACCGATTTCCCTTTAGCTCTAGCTCCTTCAGTTGATTGTTCACCTCAGCATTTTGTTTCTCCGTTTCTGCTATAGCTGCGAGAAGTTTTCTTTCTTCTTCCTCGATCTAAGTAGAGCAGGAAACAACAAGAAGCTTATTACTTAACATCATGAGCAATTCATATTAGAGTAAAAAAAACAAAAAAATTTGCTGAAACTGAAAAGGACCTTTCTTTTTTCCTTGAGAAAATCAGCTTCACTAAGAACATCTTGGGTCTCTCCTTCTAACCGCTGAACGCATGCTTCATATGCTTCAACGTCCCTCGTCACATCCTCGACTTCTTTTTCAAGCTTATCAGACAATACCCTCATGCATTCTAGGCACAATGGCTGCTCAACCTAAGAAACCAAAACATGTTATCAGGTCCGTTCTATCCAGTGGTTATACTCTACAAAGGTGAAGCCAAAAGGTTACAGTATCACCGTACCTGTGTCTGAGTTCTGGCGATATCGAAAGCACGTGTTAAGACATTGATGGTCGCATTGAATCCTGAGTTGTTTGAATGCAATGGACCATTTTGGCCGACTTCAGGCGACGCATTCTGAGAACCGCCTGAATCAGAAGCTGCAGACTCAGACTTATACACGACTACAAACGATTCTTCCATTGCCTTCCCAGAATGGTTTGCGTCAGCACCACGAGGACGTGGAGGAATGCCCTGAGCTTGAGGCTTCTGACGAGGCAAAACAACAAAAGAGTTGTCCATGCGTGTTGAACCAAGAACACTGTTGGCTCCATGGATTGAAGAGCCGTGCATTGCTGCATGTAACAGTTACATTCAGTGTGAGGGATTTGATAAGCTACAAATCTATATTCCAGAGCAGTAACTTCTAATTTAAACAATTTCTTGGAGAAGAACTCAAATGTATTGAAATCACATGAAGTTCGAAGTTACATCCCGCACAAGAGAGAGATCACCAAGAGCAAAATAAAGAAGGGAATCAAGAGAAAGAGGAAGAAGCCCTAACCGGAATGAGGAGATTCGTTGAAGAACTTTCCGGCGTAGGAATCGACGCCGACGATGGTAAGGGAGTGGTGACATTTTTGGCAGACCCATTTCGGAGGATTCGAATCGAGAGGGGAGGCCCGAGTTTTATCTGGAGTCTCGTCTTTCCGCATCATCGCTCATCAACTTTCCCCAATTTTTGGGAGGTTTTACGAAGAAATACGTACGGAATCTAGGGTTTCGATTGAATTTGAAGAAATCACTCTCTGGTAATCAATAATCATGCAACTGTGTGATACTTGTTTGGGTAAATTTCTCTCCGGGAGATAAAAATCCGGTGACTTCCGATTAATTCCCTATCAAATCTGATGAAGAATAAGAATATCAAGGTCTGAAAATCTAGACTTACAAATGTTTTGTATTAAAATCTTTACTTTAACTTGCTCTCGTGAACCGTAAATCATCAGTGGTCTAGTGGTAGAATAGTACCCTGCCACGGTACAGACCCGCGTTCGATTCCCGGCTGGTGCATAATTTTGTTTTTGAAGCTTCAGTTTATTGGGCTTTAGATAGACTTTGGAAGCCCATGAATTTTAATCGGAATCCAATTTTCTTTTTAACGAATGATTGAATAATTTAATACAAAAGTCAAAAACTGACACAATGACAATTTATTTTTTTACATGATGAGATTTGAAACCCAAACCACTTGGTATAGACACATTAATTCCTTGGAAACTGACTCGGAATGTGGGTTTTAAGTTTGTAATTAACTTTTTGGCTTAGGGGCTTGCACCATTCAGAATTCGATTCTGACCAATATATTTACAATTTCTTGATTTTCGTCCATTTTTTTTCTTTAGATTTTAAAGAAATAAAGAGAAAGCTGAATACTTTTTTCTACAACTACAACGAGCTTATTTATACACAATAGTAAACACTAATGTACGGACTCCCAAAACACAAACCCATAAAGACCCACAACATTTGAATATGGATCACAAATAATTCTCTCTCGAGAACATGTATCTCTACAACTGCTTGATTTTGATCCATTATTATTTTTTGTTACGAGGAGGTAATATAATGGAGTGGAGTGGAGTGGAGTGGAGTGGAGTGCAGTGGTAGTTTAGTAAAAACACACAAAATTGGAGTAGTCTCCAAGTTTATAAAAGTCAATCATTGTTCTTTGCTCCTCTAAGTTTGATAAATTGGCAAAGTCGGGGGACTTGCTTGAAAATGGAATCTTATTCTTCTATTGGGTACAAAATGTCGTAACTAAAAGACTTTGCTGATTTCTCTATTATGATTGGTTTGGAGGCATGTGACATTTGTATTTTGATATGTCTAAATGAGCTTGTGAAACTACAATCTTTGCCAGGATTGCATATCTCTCTTCCTGTTAACAATATCTCTTTCAATAAAAAGCCTAAAACCTTCATAAATCTAATCAGAAGCTGTGGACACAATGAAAAAGGGTGACAAAATAAGTGATAGCACTTGAATGTGAAAAAAAAAAATTGAGAGAGCATAACCGATCTTCCACTTCATTAAAGCGATCGTCCCTTTGACTCTAGCTCCTTTCAGTTGATGGCATGGTTTACTTGAGCATTTTGTTTCTCCGTTTCTTTCTTCTTCCTCAGGTCTAAGTAGAGCAGGAAACAACAACAACAACACAACAACTGTTGTTACTTAACACCACGAGCATCAGCAATGATTTTGCACCATCAATATATCTTGCTTAAACCCAATTTGAAAGAGCAAATTTTATAAAAATACGCTGAGAACAGAGATAGGTGGAATCTGACGTATAAACTAAGTGACTCAATCTTCTTTGAGTTATAAAACAAATCATCGTACTAGTTTGCTTTATTAATTGCTAATAATAAGAGGGCATTAAACACCAATGCCCCGATACATGCACACGAAACAAGAAAATACATGAAACCAAAACCCTAGACAATTAGTCAGGTGATGATGAGGTCTTCGTGGGATGAAAATCTTCTGATATAGTTCTTGGTGGCGCTTGGCAAACCGTAGCGATGCCACGGGAATTTAAGCCAATAGGAAATAAAGAGGAGAAGGACAGACTTAAACACATACTCAGTCTCAGACTGGAGTAACCGAAGAACTCCGTAACCGAGGAACACCAAGCAAATTACTACGACTATATGGTCGGTACATAACCTCCAGGACGCTTGAAGCCTTTCGCATTGCGACGCAAAATCTCCCACTAACAACATGATTTTCTCCCCCATCTTCCTCATCCTATCGTACCTCATCCTAAGCACGTACACGTCAGACTCCGACGATGGCATCGAGTCAAACTCCTCGTCTAATATGTCTAGGTTGGGAGAGTCCAGCTTCGACAGCTTCAAATCCACCAGAACCAAAGGAGTAGCAGGGTTGCTCCGATTCATGATCATGTTAAACGCTACGGTCCTGAGCTTGTACACTCGGTAAAGAATATAAACCCCACCGATATACGCATATAACCACCAATCCACCAACAACCACAAAAAAAAGCGATGGCCAACAACAAGTAGGAAACAGACACCAAACGTAACCGCTTTCCGACCAACATCCGTCGTGGAGACCAGATTCGCATCCAGCCAAGCATACGGGCCATACAACCACATGAAGAATCTACACAGCCTCTCGAAATTAGCTATGGTTCTTCTCATACTGAACCTCTTACTCCTCGGCTTCAACATGTCCTTGACCACCTCGTTTCTCAACTTCGGCACTGTTTTATTCAAGTTAAAACATATCACCTCAACGGCTTTCGACCTCAGGTCTTCGTACTGAAGCAGCCCCAAAGGGGCCTTGTAATGAGACTTCGGCAGCATCCAACGGAAAGGAGACGTAGCCAAAAAGTAGGACGGCGAGAAAAACAACCACGCTGGCGGAGGAATAGCGCATCGGATCGCCAGCTGGATCTCACCGGTTTTCTTCAACCCTTCTTTCCCCAACACCAAGATCGGAAACGAGCCCGTGTAGATCTTGTTCCAGTCCAGCTTACTCAACGGAATCCTCACTTTCCCGATCGGAACATCATCAAGGCCGCTATTCACCACTAACTGATGGTTGTCGTAGAGGCCAATCGTGAAGACGGTGCACTTCTCGTAAATATCCCATGAGCACTGCTCGTTCCACTTGGGAGACGCATTGTTGACCACGGTTCGAGTCCTTGCCCATTTGTTCCCATACTTGGCTACAGTGTAAGCGTGTCTCTGAAACTGCGAGTTCTTCATCGGGGTTAACCCTGTAGCTCCCAAGATCCCGACCTCTAACTTGCCCAGCACGCCAGGCCATAGCCCTTTGGCGAAAGGGCGATAGTCGCTGCAGTATTGGCTGCATTCGTCGAAGACGTGGTAGGTCTGATCCGTAGCTAGCTTCACTATAAGTTTGCTTGCGAACCGCCTAGTATCCCCTGCCGGTTGGGGGTTATCCGGCAGTTTAATGTCGCAGGCAGAAGCGGTACGGGTCCGGGTTGTTTAAGATGGGTAATATCTTTGAAGTCTTCTCTCTAATACTCCTATCAATTGGTTGTGTTGATCATCGAGCTTGTCCCATATTTCGATGGTGACTGCTAGATCTTCTAACGGCTCCGATGCGACGAAGATGAGATCTTGATTCCACGACGGGTTCGAACCGGTAGAGATCCCGGTTTTTAGTTTTTGTTCACCTACTTGTACCTCCACGAAAGCTGAAGGAGGCCGTCTTCCGTCGTGGGAAATCAAATCGTGACCTGAAACAATCGTAACCCTAAGGTAGCAGAGCATTGGAGCTAGGTAGATATTAGGTCGCGTGTTTTTCACGCAACTAGCACTCACACCACACGTATCCGAAAACCAAGCGGTTGAGTAGACCTCGTCGGCTTGTGTACCGAACCAAATCGACATCACTAATTTCATGCCAGTGTTCTGCATGTCGTAATTCGTTGCCGCTATTCTTGCATCGGGGGGAACCCTTGACGGAATATCCGCGGGCAGCTTGAAACTTCGTTTGCCAATCTCAGTATTTGTATAACCGTCTTTCAGAGAGAAGGACAAGACATCGGCTTTGGATTTGTCGAAAGCAAAGACTTGGTTCCACTCCCAGTTAGGTCTAACTGGTAGATCTCTGGTAGAGGAATTGTAGTTTCCGAGAGTGATGTCGACGATGGGGATACATGTCTGGGGTACATGCTCCACTTTTGTTAATTCCACGTAAAGAAACTCCATTTGCTCTACGAGGTCATGTGAAGAACTTGGGCCTCTAGGGTTTCGGGTTCCTCTTTCTCCCCCGAGCTTCGGAGAGATTTTCTTGATGGAGACGTCAGCCATCTCTGAAACAAAAAAAACAAGGGAGTGAGAGATGATCAAGAAATTTAATTTTACTTAAACAAATGAAATTCAGAATTTAAACAAGAACCCTAAATCAAATACAAAACTTAAAATAAATTCTCATAATTCTTGACCCTCTGACGTTAAAACCGATCTCCACAGTTTTCAATTAATGTGTTACTTCTTGCACAAGAGAGATCACCAAAAGCCAAAAATATTAAAAAAACAAAAAAACAAAAAAAGAGAAATCATCACGAACCTGTCTGATACGATGAAGCAGAGAGTAGAGGGTTTAAGATTTGATTGCTCCTTTTTGATTACACATGCATATATATACATATACATACACGAAGAGTTGAATAGAGAAACAGAATTTAGAGAAATGGAAACAAAATCTTTGAACTTCGTGTTTGGGCTTCATTTCGACAGTTTCTTTTAAGCCCTATATTTTTTTAATTAAAACTCTAAACAAAACCACTTAATTTCTCTTTTTGAGAATCCAAAAAATCCAAATTAATATATACAAACGTGAAACGTTACAAGACTATTCAAAACCATTAATCTGACAGCCGGGAAATCAATTTTCATATATACAAAGTTAGTTGCAGCCTTCACGCGCCGGAGAAGGATTGCTCCGACAAACCGGACAAGAACTATGCAACTTGAGCCACACATCAATGCATTCAGTATGGAAACAATGTTCACATTCGGGTAAGCACCTAACGGTCTCTTTGCTTGCGTATTCGGACAAACAAATGGAACACACAACATCATTTGACCCGGTCGGAAGTCTCCTACTCTCACCTAACTCAACTTTCTTGTAAGACTCAATCGTAGACTCATCGAGACCCGTCCTCGTGATGACTTGTTCGCTTTCTGGCTGGGGTATCACGGATCCGGAAATCCTTGCAAGCATGGCGTGTTGTATGACCTGAGAAGAGACTCTATCGGAGCTGCACATGACAAGACCGACACAGAAAGTCAACGCGATGAGTGGTCCGATTAGAGAGAGGCAGATTATCTTTAGCACTTGTAAGCTTGTGTTGTGAATTCCTGTTTGCAAAAAAAAAAAACAACACAGGTCAACGCTCAAACTTTGTATGTATATATTCTAAAATGCTACGACGTTCTCTCACGTTTTGATTAATTTAACCAGTCAATGAGATTTTATTAAAAGTCAACTAGGATAATATATTTGTTTAATGAGTAGAGATAACTACACAAAAGAAAAGAAAGAAATCAAACAGTTTCTTGGGTTTGAAGCTTTCCACCATTAATGGATTGTTTCATAAGGAAATGAGATGATTAGTACCGGAGTTTACAGAACTGAAGCATTGGACTTGGAGGGTGATGTTGTTGACAGATCCACATCTCCAATTAGCCTTTCCCTCGCAAACACTGCAATTAGGAGAGTCCCATTTTAGCCAGAGATCTTGATCGTTGAGGTCACCGGCGAATCCTGCCATGTAGGCGATAGGCTCGGAAACGGGAAGAAGTAGTTTCTTGAAGATCTTACAAGATGGTGGCATCGAAGCCACGAGGTCTAAACTTGTGGCGACGAAGGAGGTTGTGGAATTTCCAAGGCATTGAATGGGTTTGTAAAGGGAGGAATTAACGTCTTCTTTAGGACAAGTCAAGAAGGCGTAGTTGAGAAGGTGGAGAGGAGAGAAAGGAGACCCTGAAGCGTCAAAGCTGAGAAGTCGTCTGGCTAAGCAGTTCTTGGGGTCGTTGAGGCGTATACGTTGCTGGAGATAGTCGATATCTCGGACGAGGAATGTTTCAGAGTTGGGAAGCTTTAGTGTCGTCTCGTGATGATTGGTGCATAGGAGGTTGAATCCTGTGTGGCCACATGACTCAGGCTGCTTGGGGAATAGCCAGAAAGGGAAACGAACGTGGATCTTCCCATCGAAGTTTCCGTGTATACACGAAGAGGTGTAGCAAGGTTTTTGGTCTGCTGCTTTTAGGAGAGGCAAGAAGATGAAGATGGAGAGAAGGAGAGGGATTTGCTTTGAGAAGGTCATTATGTGGTTTGGCACTAAGGGACAAGAGATGAGAAATTGTTAATACTACTTATGAACTAAGAGAAAAAGTCAAAGAATAATACATATATAAATTTGGTTTAATCGTATGGAATGGTCGACCTAATTCTTCATATATATTCATTAACATTGGTATGTGTTCAAATAATAAAACTAGTTCAACTATCTCCTCAGATTATTCTTGCTAAACATTGCAAGGTTGAAAACTTATTATAAGTGCTAGTGTAACTATTTTTAATATATACTTTATATTGAAGAGGACACTTGAAGGTTTTGGCTTGTGAAGAATCATATTAGCTTTCACTGTCCTCTCCTGCTTCATTGTGTGATGGTTTAGAAAATGTACATACTCTGTTTGTGAGATGCAGAGTCATGTGAAGGTGTGACATAAACGGAGTTATGGGTGATACTTTGAATCAAGGCCCAATCTATCAAAGCCCAATAACGAGGGATTTTACGCTATACTACACTCACTCGCTTGGCAACGCGTGTATATCACGGATTCAACCATCAACCGATTGTAGACAATCTAGAGATCGAAACATACAAATTGTATGATACAATATAACCGAATTACAAAAAACAACGTTCGGCGAAAACGTGTACAATTTTTTCAGAAGAATACTAAGGCTAAATTATATTCGTTAGTAACAAAAGTTGGGTTTTGGTGAGACTTGGTTTCGACAAATCGGACAAGAACTATGCAAATGGAGCCACGTGTCGATACATTCGACGTGGAAGCAGTGTTCACATCCGAGTAAGCACCCAATGGTCTCGTTGCTCGCATATTCCGATAAACAAATTGGACATATAGCATCATTTCTCCCCGGGAGCTTCATATTTCTCTCTAACACCACTTTCTTGTACAATCCAACGATCGCTGACTTTGCTCGACCACTACGCGGTTTGCGAGCGAAAAGCCGTGACACGTGTCTTCGTATCTGGGTGGGGAGCCTCTCGGCACTGAACGTGACATATGCCACAAAAGTGGCTATTGCGACGAGTAGTGCGATCAGGAAGAGGCAGATTAACTTTAGTACTAGTACGATGAAGTTGTAGAGTCCTGTGTTCAAAAATGGACGGTGAAGAATCAGAATGACTCTTGTTCAATTTAAATATTGATATTCTAAGGTCACGACATTCTCGCATGTTGTAGTATTGGAATTTTATAGACGTGATGATTATTTATAAAAATCAAAAAGTCAATGACTTGATTACTCTTTATTTAATGCCCATTAGATATGATTTGATTTGATATGATATGTTTTGAGTTAATAATAACTATTTTCCGAAAACGCTAAACTTTTCATTTTGGACCGTTTGTGAAGGATAATAAGAAAGAGAAGAAATTAGGTTTCGTACCAGATTTTAAGGATTTGCAGCATTTGATTTCGAGAGTGGTCTTATTTTTGAAACCACATAAAGAACGATTACTCTCACAATCTCCGCAATTGGGCGAGTCCCATTTGAGCCAGAGGTCTTCTTGATCATTGAGGTCAACGGGGAGCGGTGAAGAAACAGGAAGAAGTAATGTCTTGAAGATTTGACAAGAGGAAGGCATCGAACTCGCGAGATCAGAGCGAGCGGCGAAGAAGGAGGACGTGGAATTACCAAGGCAATGAATGAGTTTGTAAGGAGAGGAAGGTTTGATGTCATCTTTAGGACAGCTCAAGATGGTGTAGTTGAGAAGGTGGAGAGGAGAAAAAGGAGATTCCGTGGCGTCGAAGCTAAGAACTCGTCTGGCTAAGCAATTGTTTGGGTCGTTGAGTCGAATTCTCTGTTTTTCATAGTCAATCTCTCCGACGATAAATAGTCCGGAATTTGGGAGCTTTAAGGCTGTCTCGTGGCGATCGGTGCATAGGAGGTTGAATCCATCGTGGCCACAGGAAGAAGAGTGTTTGGGGAATAGCCAGAAAGGGAAACGAACGTCGACGTTTGTGCCTCCTCCACATGAGGAACTGTAGCAACGTTTTGCTTCTGAGGGGTTTAGGAGAAGGAAAATGAAGAAGATGAGATGGAGATGGAGACCGACTTGTTTTGAAAAGGTCATTATGTGGTTTAGCACTAAGGGATAGGAACATGAAGGGTATTTAGTACTTATAGATGAATAGAAAAGTCAGAAAACAGTATATATTTTTAAACTCTTGGTTTTCTTAAATTCAGTTGTATGAGTTTCACATAGAAAAAAATTACTTTACGTTGATAGTTCTAATCCATTCACAGGCTAAAGAGAAAGGAGAGGGAATTACTTTGAGAAACTCAAAAGGGAAATGTAAGAGTCAAACAACAGTAAATATATATGTATCCAATTTTGGTAAATAATGGTCCACAAGGATCTTATAATCATTGGACTGTGTTTCGTATGGAAGAAACTCAATAATCTCTCAGACTATTCTTGCAAAATACTTGTAAAGTTGTGAATATAATAAAGAGGAAAGATTTGTATACCAGAATATACTTAGAGGCTGTGTGTGAGTGGGATAACACATTGCGTGATGAGGAACTTCAGAGCAGCTGATGGGAGATTCTGATGGAAACAATGTCACCATCAGTTCCTGCTTTCATCGCGTGATACTTCACAAGGATTCCTGCAATTTTCAGATATGTATAAGAATTACTTGGGTTCTGTTTCTCTCTGTTTCTATATAAAGTTAATGCAAAGTGACATGGAGAATATAATACCTTCGTTTTCTTGTAGTCTTGTGTGAACAGCTACTGCGTTTGGTACGATGACTGCTTTGGGTTGGACATCATCTGGCTCTCCGCTCCAAGACTTGAGGTTGAGAATACCTGTTATAAAGGTTTCATTTCGTTACAATGTGTGAGGCAGAGTCAAAGGAGCATAAGAGTATGATGGAATTTGAAGTTACCTGAGGATGAAGATGCTTTAAGGTGTTTGAGATCAAATATGGCTCCACAAGCTGCTTTTGTGTCTTTCTGTAACTTATGAGATCCGATTAGATTGTATTCCCAGCTTCCATCTTTGTATCCTTCGTTCAGGAACAGCTCAAGGTGCCTAGCGTCCAGTGTTTGCATTGTTCCTACACAATAAACAGATAACACTCTCTCTCAGTTTCAGTTTAGTAACTGCAGAGACTAATTCATCAATCCTAACATTTCAATGACAGTTTTGAGTCAATAAGCGTCTTTTTACCATCACAGGTACTAAGGTCACAGACAGGGCAACGAACAAGCTGCAAATCTGTAAACAAGATAAGCCATGTTACATCATTTTCGTTTCCAGAAGATATGAATGAATAAGATGAAAATCTTTTTTACCTGCAATCCAAATACCGCTTTTAATGCCGTTTATGATACATGAACCACTCGATTCCAGCATCTTTTCTATGCTTCTTTCCCTTGGAACTTTCAGTTGACCGTTGAAACTCTCAGTCAGTAGTGACATTCCAGAGTCAAGAGTAAAGGCACCAATTCGCATCCAATCTGTAATTACAGAGAATAAAACGAGGCTGTGATCAGCAAATGGCTTGACATGACTTTTTTCCCAATTTACCAAACTAAGAAAGTATGATGAATCCAAATTCAAAAGCTCACCAATGTGCTTTTCCTTCTGATGGAACAAGTAAGAGTGGCTCCCATCTGCATTGTCCAATATCTCATTTCTTAGTCTACCATTGTATTGAGACTGTATGAGTCCAAAGTTGATGTAAATGTTATCGTCTTCATTTTTTGATGTAATGTGTATGATATACTTACCAAAAGCTGAAGCGTATATCTTAATCCAGCTTGAGGAAACTGAAAGCGGCCTTGGCACCTGAAGATCACGCAAGCAAGCAAACCTCCAAATAGCATCCTCCCTTATGATCTTGCTAAAAAACCATTTGTTTGTTGCTCCCAGCATCACCAGTGATTTACCATCCAAAAACCTCGAAATGTATGTCCATATATCTTCCTCAAACCTGATTTGGCAGAGAAAATCACAAAACACAGTCTCAGGAATCTGACGCAGAGACTTAAGATCTAAGAATCCTGATTCGAAATTCGAGGATTTCTAGCAATCTCTATTCAAATTTCATCCTCGTTGTTTCTGGATTCAGTTTAACGATGATCGAAAGCGAGAAAATACGGCGAAAATCTCGAAACCCAGTTTTCAGCTACCACACAGTCACGAACAATAATCGATACTAACATCTGTTTCTCATACGATCCAATTGATTCCGAGATTTCATTTCCAGAAGGTAACCGAAGATGATTGATCGAGTTCTAAATCCTAGATCCATCAAATACAGTAAGACTAAACGCCTAACAAGCATTTCAAAATCAAATTGGAGCTCAGCCCAAACTCGCATAGCAAACAATTCGTGAGCAGATCAATTGTGTTCATCAGATAGAAACTGCGTTTAGTCTAGAGAGGAAGAACATACCACGAGAATCTGGAACGGTAAGTAGAAGCAGAGCACCGAGGAGATACACAGCCACGGATTCCTCGGAGGATCTTCCCCTTCCCCTGTTCGTTGCTCTGAGCCAGTTTTCTCTTCCCTCGACCATTTCCGTCTCTCTGAGGATCGCTCTTCTGCTCGTTGCTCTGCACCAATCTTCTCTTCACTCTGCCATTGTCGTCTCCATCGGGAGCTTTCCTCTTCTCTCCATTGTCTCCGAATACAGCACCAGATCTCGTCTTCATTCTCCTTCTCTCTGCTCACCCAGAATCTCTCTCACTAGTCGCTAGTTTGTTAAGAAAAAAATAGATTCAAATATTGTTGTAGCTGTGAATCTCTCTGAGTAGTGTCGCAGTGAATAACCATATACCCGCGGAAGAGAGACGCATCGAATTTGAAAATTGTGTATGTAAAATGACGTATATGACCCTGTAACAAACTTTCTGCGCCCGCCTCTCTCAACAGTCAACATACTCGACTTGTAATTTTGAATCTGTTTAAACTTCGCATCCGGTTTATCATCGACAGACGGAACCTAAACCGGAAGATCCTCTATTTATTTAATCTTTATTATTAATTTCCTCAGTGTGATTTAAAGTCAAGGCTAGTAAAATCGACATTAATCCATTGAAAAATTAGAAACAATATTATGTAAACCATGAAAAAGCTATCAACACTTGAACATTTTTGACCTGTTGGATCAAATCAAATGTAAAGTCTTGTTTTGTGGCCTACGGGGTTATTTTCTTAAGAAAGTGTAAATCCTACACATTTACAAAATTGCCACGCCGGAAAATGTAGCCGGCGGATATACAATCTAATGGGGTAACTAATGAATAAAATCGTAAAGAAGTCAGCATGAACCAGCCGCCGGTCCGGTGAGAGAAGCGTTGCAAGAACGGTTTAATCAGTTCATGAATTTGCGGCAGTTTTGAGCTCTACAAAGGCAAGGTACTTTGATGTCTTCAGATTCATCAACCTCAAAGAGATAATCATACCTGTAGAGAAAATGTGTTTTCATGGTTAGGGTCATGAATTTGGAGAAAATGTGAATTCTATGGGAAGAAAAAGCTGAAAGAAAGTGTTACGTAAGCTCTTCGCCAGCTGAGACATTGGTCTTTGCAATGAGGACGATTCTGTTATCTTCTCCATCACCCACACTCACAATACGTGCATAGCAATTAGGCATACACTGCACAAGACATGATCATCATTAGTTTTTGGTTACCACTACTTGGTTTTGGTCTAGTTAGTGTGTGTCAATATGGTGGAAACTTACTGAATGATTGATCAATCGGGCTATGTTTCCAGAGTAAGTGGCATCAATCACTATCTCTTCGCTTATCTTGAACAGCTGTGTTTTCAAATAGTAAATCGACAATTAGAAGCAGCGTATAATGGTGAATGTAAGCAAGCAAGTAAGCAATCCGAACTTACATAACAATCTTTGCCTTGAGAACGATAGTTTGCCTCTCTTAGATCTGCAACACTTCTCCTAACTTTCACCCCACGGTACTCGATGATCTGCACAAGAGTTTCCGTATCAGTAGTTCCTTAAAGATGAATTGCATTTAGTCATCGAAATCATGAATAGCAACACTGTTAACTAAATACCATTTCTCCTTCTTGAATACTTGTCCTTGCAAAGAGACCCCATCCATGTATGCCAGATTTACCAAAGCAGACCCGGAGATTTTCCGTCCTCTAAAGAAGATAACAAGTCTTTGTAAGATTACAGGATAACAAGATGGAGAATATTTTAAACTCTTCTTGAATCAACGTTTTACCTGCAAATGCTTTAGCCGGTCTTTGAATGAAGTAAATTCTGACGTATCTGCTTCCTGGAGTAACAATGTAAAGGGAAATCAAGATCTCGATTAGATATTCTACAAAAAATTGTCCCAACAAAGCGAGACACTGACACGAATGGAGATCTGAATGAGAAACTTGCCTTAACAGACTTTAGACTCTCGATTTCACTCAGAGAATGGAGGCTTGGTCCCTTCAGCCTGTGGTATATCGGCTCCAGATCAATCTTCTGAAACATCAGAAGTAACAGAGATATATCAGTATCATATTTCATTTAAGTCGTTTTGCAAGGTAATACTTAAGAATGAACGACTGTCCAATGTGCAGTGCATACCTTCGTGTTTGATCTATTATAGATACGGCATCTTGCTGCAGAAAAAGAACCAAATTCATGACTCTGTTCCGCTCGGGGTTGGATATTGGAACCTGGAAGCTTTATCTTCCTGGTCATAACGAGTCTTGAACCTTTGGTACGCCCATTTTGATTCTGAAGCAAATTTCTAGAGCCAAAAACTCCCGAGGGTGTGTGCACAACTACATTACTATTTGGATCTGGCTTCCTACATAGTGGGTAATACGTTACAGGCGATACAAGGTCCCACTATCACATAACAGATCAATAAAACAATGTCGGGAAAACAAAAACCTGTGAAAAGCACAGTAAATTGACTTCCTGGTCCTCGGCACACCATTTTTCTCCAGGCAGTGCAGCTAGTATTTCCACATACAACAGCAACCGTTACAGATCAGCTAACAGAACGCCTTTATTAAAAATAATGAAGATAAACAGAGGCTAAGAAGATAAAGGACTAACCTCCATGCTGTAACCTGCTCGTGATGCACACATTGCGTGGAAGTGAGTGGCACACTTGCAGCATTGCACGCAGGAACCATGTGTCTGCTTACATATTCTGCAAACCTAAAAGATATTTTCGGAAAAGTATTAGAGGTCAAATGTTATAAGAATATAATACAAACACACTGATTATACTTTATACTTCCACCAGTTCATTATACCTTGAGAAACGAAATTGCTGGAATTTTGAAAAGCCCAACAGCAGGCTCCATATTTTCGTGATTTAAAAACCCAACTTCCGGCCGGAACCAAGCACATGTGACATGAACCCACAAACCCTCAATGTCGCTTGGTTTTAGAGCACCCCCTGCATAAATAGAAGGGAGATTCTGTTTAAAATTCAAGAAAGATGTATAGAGAAATGGAAACTGAGCTCATTTTATAGCACATATGTACTGAATAATGTGACCTTGTGACAAGACAGTGAAATCCGAAAATAAGCCATCGCTAATGCAAGATGGGGGAACAAACATAGAATGAGCTAATTCTGCAGTAATACCTTTTACAGGACAAAGACAACACTCTCTCTCAATATCTGGTGTTTCACATGCTCTGCATACCCAGGAGGTGAGGTCTTGAGCTTTGCTTACCCCATAGCATTCTTGGTGCACAGCTACTTGACATCTGAAGACATTCAAAAGTTTAGTTTAAATTAAATATTTTTGACTCCATGTTAAATTATACAATCACTGTAGAATTCAGTAAAACCAAAATGGCCATAGAGTTACCTGTTACAGATGATCATTTTATTTTCTTCCCAGTCTTCTACCCATCTACATACAGCACACCTTTCAGTCGTCCACTTTGCACTGACTGGGTCATACTTTTCTGTGCAAACGAAATAAGTAGTAAGCAAGTTTATCAAATTTGAACTCCAAAAGAGAAAGTCTCTGCTTAAGAGTTGAGCTGTTAATCTACCTCCCAGCAAAGAGAGCATCTTTTGCTTATCTAATTTCCCGCAACCTGCAGTAGCTTGTTCTAGAGTAGGGTCGCTAGATCCTGCAATCTGCAGTATCTTGTTGTCAGCATTAAATTTCGTACAGACCAAACAAAATCTACATTCGGATTTCAGGGGTATATATAAGGAACAGCTTTAAGAGAGTATCGTTTAAGGGGCGTACCCATTTTTCTAGAGTTAGCATTGAGTTTTTCACTTTTACACTGTACTTCCACTTTTTGGCTCTGCAGCCTGTATGCTTTTCCCATTCACTTGGTGACTGCTTCTTTGCTCCACAATCACCACACTTGCACTCAATTCTGAAAACAATATACCAGGAATTGATAACAGGATTGAGCGTGTGTTTTAGTTGTAAACGTATTCAATTTTCGAGTAGGCAATACTATCAATTATATATTGTGTTGTGTAACTACATTCAATAAATAAAATTCTGTCTAAACGAGAAAACTAAAATGCGAGCCTGATATATGAAACACTTACAAATGAAACTTTCGGATATATGTCCCTTCCATGCCATTGCAGACTACAGTAACCTCATCCGGCAGCTCAGTCTCTGAAGATATTTCTGTAGACCTATCTCACAGAGATTGTGAAGACAGTTTTCAGATCAAGGGATTAGAAACAAAGCAGCAGGAGAAGCCATGTTTTCAAAAGAGTAGAGTGAGAGCAACATACTTGAACAATGAGTTCTGTTCATCTAATATAGCCGGTCTGGGGTCATGCTGTGCTCTGCAATCAGGGCAATGGTAATTGCTGTGCTCCAGTTCCTTAAGATGACAACAAATTAGTCCAATCTTTCGAAAATAGTCTTAAATACTTAAGATTCATATCCAAGGAGTTGTATAAGAGCACCTTAAAACGCTTGTTCGAAATGTTGTCACACCCAGCGTGTACCCATATATCACACCCATCACAACATACCTATTACATCAATAAAGTCAGTTACATAGATGTAGTAAATTATCACTCAGGTCAGTATCACCAAAAATGGCCAAACATATTCTCACCCAATCTCCACCATCTGAAGAGTGCCATGATATCTTGCAAATGCCACAATACTGATTGGATTTACGCATCTGAAAAAAAAAACAATTGGATTCCATTTCTTTTTGCCCAAAGATAACCCGAAGAGTAAAGAAATTTCCTAAGTACCTTTGCACAGTGCTTGCATAAAAGCTCGTCAGGTTGTGATCCTTTTGTCCATTTCAGAGATTTCAATGGCATTACTGTGCCACAGCCGTCACAGGTGCTTATGCCGACAGGACATGAACCCTACACAAAAATTGAATCAGCACAAAAAAGGATACCAATGGCAAATCCACGCCTATATATAATGCATTCATGACTTTACGAAATGAAGGTATATCAACAGATGTAAATGCTTATGAATTAGACACGATGCCTATAGAACTGACTACCCGAGATTGAAAGTAAGAACGTGTCCTCAATTGATTTGCTTTTATTCCCAAATCAATCCGTAAAGCAAAACTTGAAGATGTAACTAAGAAAAGAGAGTAGGTAACAAGAAAACGTGCCTGTAATCTATAAGCAGGCCCATTCTCCTGGTCGGATGTCGTGGCAGAGGAATCTGGGCAGCTGATTTCAGCAGCTCCACAACTACCCTCAACCCCATTCTCTGCTAACACTGCTTCCTCGAGTGCCTCCTTAAAATCGCTTGGCTTGTTATTGTAAAAGTTCGTCTGATCCTGAAATCTGAAGAGACGGCAAAATAAGGAACAGTACAAATAGACAAATATGAAAGGTTTCCAGAAATAGCGTCTGGTGTTCTTACTTGCCCATAAATTCCGTAAACGGAAACACCATTCCTTGTCTGACCCATCCATAGTCCTGTAAATGACCACTAGCTTCAGAAAAGAATATCGTACAAAGAAAGCGCATCAAACGCCAGCTTGAAGACGCGGAGAAATTAAAAGAGAAAAGTTTCTTACCCTCTGCGTTCCATCCTTCTTCGAGTGCCCAAAAAACATGACACAGAGCGAGCCCGGGACGCAATGTTTCAATACTGCATCAGGCGCTTGTGAAGCCGGATCGATCACTTTAGCCGGCCACGCCGGGAATCTTTTCCCACACTTGGCCCAGACTAGATCGCCGACCGCAAAGTCCTCTGGCTTGTACACGACCTTCCTCATGGCGGCGGGATTTTCCAGCACACCCGATTCGGCAAAAAACTGCTCTTTACCTCTCACGGAGAAAGAATTAGCGTCGTCGAAGGAAGATAACCTCGACATTTTGACATTCGCGCCCTTTTCATCGCCCCAGTCATCAAAATCAACTTCGCTGCCGTCTCCGTTATCCTTACGTGGAAACAGCTTCGAGGCTTTGCTGAGATGAAATTTCGAGCTTCCGTTCTCAGCTCTCTTATCATGACCACCTTTGACTTTCTTCATAACACGCGTGTCGTCGTCATGGCTCGACTCCTTCGACTCGACTTTGCGACGTCTAGTACTCCATGCATCAACAATCGAATCGTTGAACCTCGAAGGAACCACTCTGACTCTGCCGCGCGAGGACTTGGACTGTTCGGGGTCCAGATGAGACTCTTTGCTCGTCAAGGAGCTTGCGCTACTTGTAACATCTTCGGGTTCTCTACATGGTTGATCCACGCTTGCTCTCTGTCTTTTCCGATACACTATAACCTCGCCCTTTTGGCTCCCATAATCAATTTCTGAATCAATTTTGCACCGCTTGAGATTCTGATTCTCGACTCTCAAGGTCCGTTTCAGAATCATGTCCTAGCTCAGTAATCCTCGACTCTTCAGCATAAACGACTACCCAGATTCCGATTCCAAAACCCTAATTTCATCAAACAAACAGATTCGAGCCTCGGACCTCCAGAAAAAACCTCGAAAAGTATCAATTCCTCTCGCAATTCGGCTCAATACTCTGTGAGCCTAATGAGAAATCGTATCTCTAACCCCGATTTCGAAACGAAAACAAATTCTCCGGATTCGTACGTTTCCCTCTGAGGATAGAAGAGACAAAACCAATAAGAAATCAATATCGCGAAATCGTAACACTGGAAACGGCGGAGAAGCAAACCAAATTCACACCGTAAAAACCTTCTGAGAATTATCGGGAAAATCAGTCGTCGCAATTCCGAGAAGATAAACCCCAAAGCTCCTTATAATCGACGGCGAGGGAGAGCAAGCGGAGGAGAAGGAGGATCTGTTTAAGAGCGTGTGCTTTGGAGAAGGAGACACAGACCGTCGGTTTAAATTTTTCCTTATTATTTTACGAATTAAATCACGGTTATGCCAAATAAATTCCCCTTAAAAATTATAAAAACGAAATTGGAAAATCGGGTTATGCTTACGTGGCGGCTGAATGGAACAGTGTTTGGCTCCAGGGATTGAGGACGAGGGAAGAGTGCCAAAATTTCAGGCCTACAGAAGCGCCAAGTCGAAAACTTATTTCCGACGTGGCGCGTCCAAAACTAAATAAAATGTTAAAAGCTTGCTGGGCTATATATGCTTTGAGATACATCTATATTGGGCCTATTTTGGGCCTTAATTTTGCTATATCAGAATTTTTTTTTTTCATACCCTCTCTCATACTGTATAAAATTTTCATTCACTTTGATTATACACTCATGTAATAACAAAAATGAATTATACAGGATAAATCAACCTTGAAAGCTCCACTTTAGAAGTCAAAATGACAACAAAAGGAGATAAAAACAAACAAACAAACCTCCGGAAAATAAAATAATGAAAAAATTTCACGATGGTGGTCTAAACAAAACTCCCTTAGCAACTATAAATTCAAGGAACATAATGACTTTAGCCAACAAAATCCCAAAAATAAAACGTGTGTGTATGTACAGAAACATAGGATCCTTGAATCAAACGCTAGTAGAAGAACTTGGATGATGTGTCTCAAAAGAAGAAGGCGTGTGAGAAGAAGGTGAACCAATGGAGCCACGAATCCTGAATATTTCAAGAACAAGAAAAGCAAGTAACGTCACTGACAAAACAAATCCATATCCAATTTTCCATGCAACTACTTCATTTTCAGCCGCCATTCTAATCCCAAGAACAATGTTCACTGCTCCAAAGAACAGTGAGATTCTCCCAATCCAATGATGATACCAATTCCAATATCTCCTCATCTTTGTCTCCTTTTGCGGCCGCGCAAAGAAAGCCAAAACCTACAAAAACATATCCGAAGCATGTTCAAACCATAACTTATAGTCCATGCGTAAACTCTGGAAACTTCGAAGGATCTTGATTCTCTCAAACCTGAAGAATGCTAAGGACTAGAAGAAAGATCCCAATGCCTCGATGTGCAGGTATATCCGGTTGGATCTTGTTGTAAAGCCGGATTCCGAGAATAACAGCGGTTAAACCGAATATAAATCCCGTGAACTGAATACCGATGTGAAGATAATACCAAAGAGGGTCTTTATGTCTGAGATATCTCGCGAGCATTGCCCCTAGAGGAAGTAGGAAACCCCATCCGAGTATCGCCATTACTCCATGCTTCGTCTTCTCCGTAGAAGCTGTCGTCGTTTTCATGGATCTTACTTCATTCGCTGCATGGCCAAAAACACACGAGAAAATTTGTTATGTTTTTAGATAGTCTAAACTAGTATATGGACTAAATTGTTATAAGTTTTTACATGAGAAATATTAGTTTAGTTTTGTTTCTTTTTGTCAGATATCAAAACATTTGAAGTACATGGACTAAAATTGTTTTCTCAACAATTTAATTCCGAAGTGTAAATTCAAACGCAAACGTTTTTTGGCGTTTAAAACAACTATGATCATAATTTTCTCTTTTTTTGCATTCACATTTTTTGCAGTTTTTGTGTTTGAAAACATAATAATGAAAAGCAAACAAAAAAAGTCATTTTGAGATTGATACCTTTGGAGAAATCGACGATGACAGTAGTTTTATCGTCATGCTTAGTCAAACGGCCTAGCTTCGAAGGATAAGCTGTGCTAAACGCTAGAATCACAGCTCTGCGAGGAACTTTAACGGCGAACTTAACCTGGAAAGCTAAGTAAATCATTGCTCCGTGAAGAGCCACCACCGGAGGAACTTTCTGCAACTGTAACTCTCCTTGATCCGGCACGACTTGGTCTCTCTCTGTTCCTTGGAGATAGTATTGCTTAATTCTGGCTTGACCCTTCTTCGAAATCCAACCGATCATCGCGCTTGATCCCACCATTCTTCCGTCTTTGGAGAATCCGATTCCGACCCACCCGGTCGTATATAGAGCCGATACTATGATCGTCATCACATTGTCTCTGTTTTCTGAGTACTACAAAACAGAGAGATTTGAAACGGAATGAGAAAAGTTTGTTACTATTGAGTGATGAGTGTGTAATTGAGTATTTTTTAAGCTACCCTTAAGACGAATGTGTTCCAGAGAGGTGTACACGGCATGGAATCGGAGATGTTGTTGTACGGTGGAGGGAGGAAATCGGATAGTCGGTTTGCTAAACAGAGGTTTTGGATTTGGGTCGAACCATCGACGATACTGACGTCATCTGCAAGTAGAAAAGGCAGATCTTGTCCGATTAGAAGACAGAGTATGGAGAATCCGACGAGGGCTCTCATTGTTTAGAAACGAAGCAGAGATGGAGAGTAGAGCGTAGAGGAAGGAATAATGAGGGCTTTTTTGGTGATGTTTACTTGAAGAAGAAGAAGAAGAGTGATTGAGTTTGGTGGTGAAGGTGGTTGAAGATGGAGATCAATCATAATCATGGAATTGTTTTTAAATCTCTTCTCTTCGATTGGATTTTTGAGAAAGATGCTTGTGAGTTGATGTTTCACTGGTTAAGTATCGGACAATTTATGTCCCCTCTGTCACTTAAGTCGACACGTGAACCGACAGATAAATACCAAAATGCGGATGAAAATTATTGCTTTTGCCAGTTAAAACAATTGTCAATTGCTATTTGAGGTTTAATTTTTTTTTAAGATATTGAGAATCTGGAGCTTTTACTTTGCTTGTTTTGGGGAAAAAAGAAGAAGACAGAGATGAGAGAGAGACAGAGAGAGTGGGGTCGGAAATGGACCAGAATGGGAAGTGGATCAGTCATAGTCTGAATCATTACTCATTAGGTATATTTGGTCAGGATGGTGCCACGATCAACATCATCTTTTCTTTTCTGCCTGAGGCCGATATTGGAACAGAACTTAGAAACAAAGTTAACTATATTAATTCTTTAACAAAAAATGATAAACAATTAACCAACTTTTGTTATTTTAAGTTACTACAGTTTCATTATTATGGTACAAAAGTACTAAGTACTAACCTATCCCTCCTCAAATATTGCGATTCACACATACGTATTTAGACAGGCCCGGCCCTATGGGTGTGCAAGGAGTGCCTAAGCACAGGGTCCACTATTTTCTTGTTTGTTTTTTTATTGTATTTAAGGGTCCTCAATTTTTAGAATTATACAATAAAAGGTCCAAATTTCGAAATTTGCACACATACACCACTAAAGGTTTTATATTTATCAGTTTGGCACAGGGCCCAACTTTAGTTTGGGCCGGGCCTGTATTTAGATCCTGATCGTTATTCTACGGCTTGTGTTCATGTCTCTTTTCTTTAACCGACAATTTTAGCATCTTCAAGAATCAAGATCATAGAAGTTTAGACACAAGCTTATAACAACTTGGGGATGTAGCTCATATGGTAGAGCGCTCGCTTCGCATGCGAGAGGCACGGGGTTCGATTCCCCGCATCTCCAAATTTTTAGTTTTATTCAGTTTATTATGTTTTCTCGCTGATCTACTTCTTCATCCTTTTGTTTCTTTCTTCTCCTCTTTAAGGTTTCCGGTTGATGAAAATTGAGAGGATCACATCGCACGTTATTGTTCATGCATCCGATTTTTGATAAAAACAAATTTGATCAACCACAGAATAAACTGGTCTATTGTCTTACAGAACTTATTCAGAAACAAATATTAATCCGTAAACCGAATCCTAAAGAACAAAAAAATCTGTTTGAGCAAAAAAAATTGAACAAAAGAAACGAGTGGAAAAAAGAGACGAGAAAACGTATCCTAAAGAACAAAAGAATTGATAAACTGTGAAGAAAACTCCTCTACTTGGACCAAGCGACAACTTCAATATCTGTTTGAGCACTTCTATACAATTCCAACCTCTTGGCAATCGAAGTCCTTCTCTGCTGCACCGCAGGATCCTCATCCAACAATTTCGACAATTTGCCCATCTATATCAAACACCAACCCCAATTTAGATTCTTAATCAGATACTATGTTGTTTGTTCGATATGGTTACAGTTAATACCTCTTTCTGGCCAAGTTCGGTGAAGAAGATATCGAGAAGGCTTCGTTTAGCTTCACGGACTTGACAGTAAACGATGGACTTGGGAATGGAGTTTCTCAGTCCAGCGCAGACCATATTCACATAAGACAACACATTGGAACCGATCCTCCGAAGATAAGCATCGTTGTATCTGTCGAATATCGAATGCGTCGGATTCCCTCCTTTCTCAGAATCTTGTGGGAGTTTCCTGAAGAAGTCGACTGTCAAGTAACCAGACTCCATGTCCACTAGTAGCAGAGTTGCTTTCCTGCTCTCATCTCTCATTCGATCCAACGAATCCACCGCTGCTCCTGATACTTCCACTCTCAGCGTTGGATATTGCTTCAGCTCCTGTTGTGTCAAGAGATAAACGAAAATGAGTCTCTGCTTTTTATGATTGTTGTTGAGTTTTATGATTGATTTGTTGCTTACAGATGTTTCGCCCATGGATTTGTGGATAAGATCCTTGAGAATGGAGTGAACAGCATCAACGGCTGCTTCAGCTGGGCCTCTAGTGGAGACTAGGCATGACTCTATGAGACGGCGATAACCTTGTTCAGGAGCTATGAGATGCGGTTGATATCCATCTGCTTCGGTGATGAGTTTCCGCACATTGTCCATGGAGAGATGTTTGTCGAATTGCAGTCTTTTGATGGCGGCTGGGAATTGATTGTCGAAGACAGAGTTTATCTTTTCACCACCTGATCGTCTGTGAGGTTGTTAGTAGTCATAAATCATAAAACCAGAAAATTGCATTAGCAATAATATACAGAAATATGTGAGATCACTCACGTGCCGTCAAGATGTTCTTTGAATGTTTGATCAAAAGCACGGCAAATCTCCATAATCATATACAATTTTCCCTGCAATCAAGAGGAGTGAGTATTAGCGAGTAACGTGATTTGAAATAAGGAGAAGAAAGTAACCAAAGATAAGATACTTACACCAGCATCAGCTGCTACAGGCTTCCCAAGACGGCTCAGCTCTGTCTCTAACTCGGAAATAGTCTTTGTGATAAGAGACTGAAGTCCTGGAATTCTCGACTTGATAACAACTTCCAAATGCTGAGAAAAATTTATAGCTGATGTTAGAGCAGCCACAAAGTTTCTGATGCAAATTAATTCAAGAAGAATTGATATATGCCAATAACAAGCGCCTCCTCAGCTAGTTTATACCTTGGAGAGCATCTTTCCTAAATATTCTGAACCCATCCTTTCAGTTAAATGTCTGTACTCCGGGGTGGTGTTGAAGTAATCACGTTCACGCCGACGAGCAGCAATCATGTCAACACTTTTATTGATGTCAGCTTGAGATCGGTTCACAACACCAACCCAAGGATACCTTAGTTTGTATCCCCTTCCTTCTAGTATCTGAAATTTCCAGACATTTAGAAGCTTTAGGGACTGTGTTCAATATTCACTTACTACTATTTAGTGAGATTCTCATAATTATCTTCCTTGTATCCTTTTCATAGTTCAATTAGAGATAATCTGTTTACAGATTAGGCGATAGTCTTAAACTCATGATATGTATTACTATCGTCTGAATGTAACTTACATCAACAGCATTAGTGCCCTGGTCCATGAGATCAATTTTTGTTAAAACTCCAAATGTCCTGTCTCCTGATAGCAGTAACAAAGCAAGCAATTAGTAACACGAATCAATCCATTCAAACTACTATCATGATATTTTAATTGCATGGAGAAGGAATGATCTGGCACCTTTTGGATCAACTTCACGAGAGATCTTAATGGCATCAGAAGTAGCCAGATCTTGATTTGCAGGGGAAATAGCTAGTATGATGCAGTTGGGCTGTCAAAAGGTGAATGATCAATCTTTGTTACTTTTCCATAAACAACACAGAATCCTTACAGGATATAAGCATCATTGATCTACAATCTCATTCTGCTTCATTCAATATTTCTTTCAGATCATAGGTACCTTCTCAATAAACGATCTGACCATGTTCTCGATGTCCTGAACAATGCTCTCAGGCTGACCATCTACAACATCATTTCCAAAAAGTTGTCATTGATGTTTGTCAATAAAGATAACCTGCAGGGGGATGATTGAACTATCTTCAAAAACAAAGATTGTCTCACTTACCAACAGCTACTTTTGTAAGTCCAGGAAGATCAACCAGTGTCAAATTCACAACTACAGTAAAAAAAAGAATATCTTTAGAGTGTGGAGACTGGAATACAAGTAGGAAAGATGGAAGAGAACATGAGCTTAAATTTTGATCGATATTCCACATCCTGTCTATGCAAAAATGGATTAATTACAAGATATGGGACTTCTAACGCATGTTTTAGTTTTTTTCTTTATGTGGATATAGCTTCGCTTACCATTTGGGGAGAAGATACTGAGATGAATTGGGACTGTAGATATTACTTTGCTGCTGCGACCAGTTTCACGATCTGTCTCATCTGAGATCTCCTGCCTCACAGCAGCTACATACCAAGAAACACGAAATAAAACAAGATGAAAAGAATGTGTGCGCCTAAATAACAAGCAGTGACAAGAAAAGTAAGGAGCATTTATTCTTCTCGAATAGGAAATATACCAAAATCAGAGAACTTCTTCTTCGGAAGATGCATAAACTCTGCATACTCTTTGCCTTCATCAATTCTGTGAAGCTGCAGGACAAGAGGTCTACGTGTAACAATCCCTACATGGAATACATTGTTGTTATCAAATAACTGCTGCGTCAGGAGATGAATATTGAGTTATATTAAGAAGGTTTTTCTCAGTTGATATACTTCTAAGCAAGCTTACCTGCTCCACGAGGAAGAAAATCTTTGCCTACAACGCTCTCTAGCACAGAAGACTTTCCAGAACTCTAGCAAATATAAAATTCATCAAAATCAATTGAATCGATCCCCACGAAAATAGACATATACATTGTCTATACGCATTGCATTTATACATTAACAATTTTGATTAAGAGCTAATGGTTTCAGAACATTTCACTAAAATAGAAAGGCTTATCGTCACAAAGGGGGGAGTACTACTTCCGATCGATCTCGTATTCAACACTAAAATCATCATCATTTTCCGATCAAATCAACGATCCAAGGAGATCAGATCATTTCTGCGCACTGAAACCCCAGATGTACGTTGACGGAACGAGAATGCAATGCTATGATTTAAGAATCGCCGATTCGAAAGCTCATTTCAAAATTCAGGATATAGAGAGTCGAACCTGACCACCGACGACGGCAATGGCGGGCAATGAGTCCCATAGAGTCGGGAGGGAGCTTCCCTCGCCGTGATCTCCCAGAGCCGTACAAGCTCTCTGTATCTTGTTCACTAACGAAATCAAACTCTCCATCTCAAAAACGTAATCAGCTCCGATTCACTCAACGGCGGAATCAATCTCCCGGCGCGATTTGGTCTCCGCACGAGAAGGAGAAGAGAACGCAAAATGTAACAACCGCGAATTGCTATCATTCAGGCGACCGTTGAATTTTTCTGATGAATATATAAGCCGAAACTCAACAATACCGAAAATACCCCTCTTGACAAGTCAAACCTTGGAACAGGCCCATATGAAAATCAAGGCCCGAGATTATAATTATCCATTCATAGATTGAATTAATGATGGTGATTAATCCAATTTTGGACCCAAAATGACAAAAAAAAGACCTGCACATTTTGGGTATATGCCTTTTACGTCCGAGTCACGATACTCGAATGATATTTCCGTTATAAACTTATGATATACGAAAACAAAATGTCTCATCTTTTCTCTCCGCTCCACCACACAATTTCTATGTTAATTAATTTGTTAAATACCCAAAATAATTTTTTTTCATTAAGCTAATTTTTTTGGTTATGGAAGAGATATCTGGCCCAGCTGAAGAATCTCCCAATCTTTCTTCGCCAAGTCTCCAAGACTCTCCCACACACTTCTTCTAAACCTTTCTCTCTGTATGTCGCAGAGTAAGCTTAAAAGGCTAAGCAACTTTCTTCTCTCATGGAGTCGCTTACACCAAATCCTTCCTTCGCTTGTTTCTCAAAGAGCTTATCTCATTACCCTTGTCGTCTTTCCTTCGTCAAGCTAACTTCTATCCAAAAGCTTGAAGCTTCCAACACCATATCTTTATGCTGTAAATCGTCCTCTTCTTCGGATTCCCTGAGTCCTAAATCAGATTGCAACGGTAGCAATCGTCGAATTCTGCTAAACCCTTTGTGTGTGTTACGCCCAATCATCCGGACGATTAAGGGATTGGTTTCGTCTCAATCCCGGCAATGGATGTCGCGTTTCCGAGCTTACAGAGACGATACGGCGGCGTTTTCGGAGCATTTATCCGCCGGGGATTTGAAGCAGAACGGTGGTTTAGGGATTGCTCTTCTGAGCGTAACGGCTTCGGCTAAGATTAGGATTAGCCCTATCGTGGCGACGCTATCGGCGAATCCGACGTTCGTCTCTGCTGTTGTCGCGTGGTTCTTCGCGCAATCGAGTAAAATGGTTATCAATTTCTTCATTGAGAGGAAATGGGATTTTCGTTTGTTGTATGCTTCTGGTGGAATGCCTTCGTCGCACTCGGCTCTGTGTATGGCTCTGACGACCTCTGTGGCGCTTTGTCATGGAGTTGCGGATTCGTTGTTTCCGGTTTGCTTAGGGTTTAGCTTGATTGTCATGTATGATGCAATCGGCGTTAGACGCCATGCCGGTATGCAAGCTGAGGTAAAAATCTGATTTTTCTTCGTTTTTGTGTTATAGCATTTTCAAGTTTTGAGCTTTTGGAGATTTCTAATGAGTTTGACTTTGGTCTTAGTAAATGCTTTGTCTATTGTAGGAGTTTGACTAGATTTCAACATCATTTCTTTATGCTAAGACCAAAGTCTGTGTTAAAGCATATTGCTGACTGAGTAGTGTTTAATGCATTACTAAAACAGTAAAAATGTTGAAATCTGGTGATGGATTCAACTCAAAGCTCTTTACTTCATGGTTAAATTTTAACTTTCTGATGTATATTTGGTTCTTGAAGTGATTGTGAATGCCTCTTGGTTAACTTTAGGTTACGGCATTATTGATCATTAGATAAGGAACTATGGACATTTAGGCTAAAGTTTATGTGTGTTCTTGATTCTTCTGATGATGACAATGCTGAGTTTTGAATGAGAATTATAACCATGTGTCAGTCTTGTTTCCTTTTGTGAGATGAAGATGACAATGTTATGTTTTGTGTTTGTTGGTGTCAGGTTCTGAACTTGATCATAAGGGACTTGTTCGAAGGACATCCCATCAGTCAAAGAAAGCTAAAGGAACTGCTGGGTCACACTCCTTCGCAGGTTCTTGCAGGAGCTTTAGTTGGTGTTGTGATTGCTTGCTTTTGTTGCCAAGGCCATCTCGTCTCAGCCTAAGATCCTCATTAACCTCTTTTTTCACTCAAAAGTTTTCTGGTTGGTTTTTTTGATTCGATTCAACTTGGCATTTAGCAGAAAAACTCTTGCTTTGAGTTATCACTTGGCATCGATTTGGCTAAGATTCGTTGTTGTATCATATGTTGTGTTCAGCAATAGAGAAAACTCAGTTTTTCTTCTCTTGGTTGTAATCTCTTGTCTTCCCTCAAATTCTACTCAGTTATGAGATTTTGATAGGCTTTTACATTAGGTCTCTTAAATCGAGATCATATTCGTATGTATACATTGTTGAACACTTATAATCACGTTGTATCTCTTCTTCCAATTATTTCTCCATTGGTTCGTTTGATACATAAGTTTTTGTACAGTTGAAATGCCACTGTGTCCATCTTTGGATTCGTGCTTCAGCTACTCTTCTTGTTAGAATCTTTCAGAGCCCCTTTCGATCGTTGTCTTCTTCTCCGGCCGGTGGGTTTGGTCTTGAGGTTAAAGACACCTTTCATCAAAGAGCTTATATCCACAGATCGATCTCCCATGATCTTATCATGATACATCTTGCTTCCTATCTCACATATCTGTTCCTCTACTTCTTCTAAAGGGTAGTCTATATTCAACTTCAGTTCTCCTTTCCTAATAACCGTTACTCCAAACCCATTCGCCTTGGCTTCTCGAAATGTATCCTGCACATTTGTTAAAGAGAAGAGCTTTAACATTGATGATAAGAGAATAAGTAGTTTCATTTCTTTACCTTTGGTGGGCGCGGTACAATGAAAACATTTCCAGTTCTAAGCATATCCAAATGAGCTTGAATGATGTAAAAGAGGTTTTTACAGTCTGCAGCGTCCTCGAAAGCAATCACATGATGTGGTTTTGGTTCTAACTCGAGATCCGTTGCCATTTCCAATGTGTAGAATCCTACTTGTTGCTCTCCTTTGTCATCAACTGTGTACATCTCAAGGCACTGAAACATGAAAAAATGAATTAGATTTTTGAGGACTTTGAGTTGAGTTTCTCCAATGTCAAATGTTAAGCAAGAGAACATTACCAGTACATGCGGAAGATCCAACCACCATAGATAATCTTCTTCCTTACTTTCTCCATACTCGCGGTATTTGCTCAAAACAGCTTGAGGACCAAACAACTCCATCTCTCTCTTGAGTTTGTTGAGTTTCTTTTCCATGAACTTCTTGTTCTTCTCTGGCAGCTTCTCCATTATATCAGCTGCGTCTTTGATTTCGTCTTCTGTAATCCATCGGTCCAAGTCTTTCCCCATGTCTCTCATCGCAGCTTTCACTTCTGGATCAGTCTCTGCGTTGTACAACTCCAAGAACCCGCGTGACCATTTCTTCGTGTGCTGCCAATACTCCTTTCCCGACTTTTTCCCGGGTCTAACAGATCCATCACTTCCTTCTACAACAATCTTTGGCTGGCTTGAGGTCGTTTCAGATGAAGAAGTGAGAGTGTTCTCAGAGGAATCAGACTGTGATGTTTCCTGAAGAGAGCTCGGTTCTTCCTTTTTCACAGACGCAGTTTTTCCAGAAAACAATGCTTCACGCTGTTCTTGATAGTTATCGAGAAACTCGGGGTTCTTCTCAAGCGAAGGCCCTTTCCATTTCGGTATGACTTTTTCTGGTGGATCATACACACTGATGCCATCTAAATGATAAAAGAAAGTAATATAAATGAAATATACTTGACAAGCTTATCCTAATTCACCTAGTTGCAAATCAAAATTGGTGGAGAGGATATATATTACCTACTCCGTAGTCGAGGTTTTCAATGTTTGAATGAATATATTGATGCAGATGAGACAATTTCTCATTTTCTCTCTCAACTTTCTTCTCCAAGCCTTGCAGAAACATAGCTTTGTCTTCGACGTTAATCAGGTGAAACGGATCCCTACCAGCCAGCTCGTTATCTCGAACATGGAAGACAATGTCTCTTAGCTTTTCGTCCTTCATCCACTCAAGCTCATCATTCTCTTCATTGCGGTAAAGTTCTGCAATTTCAGTAATAGACCTCGGTTCCTGAGTATCTTTCTCTCTTGCAGCCATATAATTATCTCTGAATCCAGCTCTCATTTTCTCAGCGATAGGTTCAAACTCATGGGAGTGTTTCTCAATCCAGCTCTCCTTCCCTGATGGTTGTTCCTTAACTATATCTTCAGTGCCATCAGAAGAACTTTCGGCTGATTCGAAAAGACTTGTTTCGCTCTCTTCATTTCTGTTTACAGAACTTACATTAACTGCATTCCCAGGTTCTGAAAATTTCTTGTAATCATCCTTACCTAAAGGCTCAGAAGAAGTAGACTCAGGTGCTGATTTCAAGGTTCCATTGGAAGCTGCACCAAGGATTTTGTTTGTGTCAACCAATTCGCTTAATTTAGCTACACCACGCTCTTCATCGCTCTGCTTTCGGAAGATTTCATCACTGTCCAGAGTAAGCTCTTTCTCACCACTTCTTCTTGAAAGGAACTCTTTAGCCTCTTTTACAGACCGTATGACCCGTGACTTACGACCACTGCTATTCTTCATCGTACTCAACTCATCCTTAGAAACATCAGAAGATTGAATGATTCCGTCTGTAGGAACTAATGGTACCACATTACTCACCTTTTCTGCTGCCATTTCATGATTCGGAAAACCAGAATCTACCATAGCCCCATTCACCGTTGGAATAGCCAAACTAGAAAGTTCAGTGCTTTCTTGATCACTTTCAGTCGAAGTTCCCAAGCTTTCAACTTTATCATCATCATCATAACCTTCACTGTGTGTCAAACCCTCATGTGGAAGACTGTTCTGTGACCGCATGCTTATATCTTCATCATTTCCCTTCTCCTTTTGATTAACTTCTATGCCAGCTTCTATCTCCCGGGCTCGTCTAGCCATAGCTTTGATTTCATGGATCTTATCATCAAAGTCCATGGACTCACCACTCTCAACCTTAGAAGAATTCAAGAGCTCCACTTTCTTCTCTGAACCCTTTACTTTAGATATACTACTCATAAGCTCTCCACGATCAAACTTAGGCTTCTCAAAAGACACCAATGGCTTTTTCAAAACTTCCACGGTACCTTTCTCCATCATTTCCTTCTCCTTCCGAGCTTTCATCTTTCTCCTCATCATCTCCTTCTCCAACTCCGTGCACTCAACCTCATCATTACTCTTCCTATACACAAGCACTGTCTTCAGCAACCAGAGTCCTATGTAACCACACAGAACAGCTCTTCCAATCGCCGGCAACTTAGGAATTATGTCAAGACGAAGAATAGCGTTTTGGATTGAGCTAACGAATTGAAGCTCTTCCTTTGATGAAGAAGAAACAAACTTGACCAGAGAACTATCCTTATGGATCACATTTTCACCATTCTCCATTTGCTCAGCTAGTTTCTTCGCGTATAGAACCTTAGAGCTCACTGATTCCAAATCCTCGAGACCCGATCTTCTACTCGAAACTTCGTCTTCATCAACCTCTACTTTCTCCACCTTTCCAGCCGAATCCTGAAACACAGTGAAAATGGGATTCGAACCAATCCCCCAATACTCTGTTTCCTTCTTATACCGAGAAACCCAGTCTTCAAGCTCATTCAACAAATTCGAATCTTGTGAAACCTTATCCTTCAATCCCTCGGTGCTACTTAACTCCACTAAACCATCACTACGATCGAAATTATGGTTTTCGTTTCGAGATTTCGTACCTGTTTCAGTTGAATTCGGATTCGAACGCCAATTCTCATCACCTATAATCTTCTTCCTCAGCGAATTCCGTCGCCTCGAGGTCTCTCCAAACCGAGCCGAGACTCTGAGAATCGAAGCGCGATAAAACGGGAATTTGGAGATGGGCAAGCTAATTCCATGTCGGTTTCTCTTGTGAGTGACTTTCCTGCTCGATTTCGACGACAAAGACGAGAAATTTGAGAATCCATTAGGAAGAGCAGAGCTTAAAGCTTCCATTGATGGGAAATGAAGAAGATGTCAAAACCCCGAAGCTGGGTTTAACACAAAACAAACCCCAAACGTCGCCGTTTCATACTCAAAGATAAACTCAACATTTACATTTTTGCAGATATTGTAAATTTTGTAATGTTACTATCCATGACATGAGAGAGAGAGAGAGAGAGAGAGAGAGAGAGAACAATCCAAGTTTATCGTCATCGATTACATAGAAAGCTCCTAATTACAGTTTATCGGCGAAATATTCAAAATCAATTCGATTTTTTTTCTTTCAGTTTCAAGACAAGTTAGGGATACAAGCTCCTCCTCCACTTTGTTGCTGCTCTTTCCAGATTCTTCCAGTGACTCTCAGCTTCAGCTCTTTCCTGTCTCCACCTGAGAAGAAGAGAGCCATGTTCCTCTGTATAATTAGTCCATCATGACTGTCTCTCACTTTCCTGTGGCTGTCTCTCACGCTTCTCGGCGTTCCTTCCCAAATCAGCTTCCTACCATATCCTCCAACTTCCAAACTGTAGTTGTAGTTCCTAGCTTCTGTCTCGTCCCCCATGAAACGCAGAAACGCCATGTACACCGGAGCCATCCCAAGCTGGAATGCCTCAAAGTGAAGACAGAAGTATTGACCAAAGCAGTGAAAGACCTGAATTTTTTAGGTTCCAACCAGAAATCAAACCAAAAGAAACGAACTTTGATTCTTAAACAAAGCATAGTCACAGATGTAAGCATGTACTTACAGTTAACATCCATGTGGCGTTTTCGACTTCACGAGGATTAGACTTGACATAACGATGGTTGAAAGTGCATCCAGAGTGCATATCCACCTTATGATCATCCCTCAGATGAGCAACTAAGAAAGGGATATCACCCATAACAGCACACTCTGACCCGGCGTAGGGACAGTTGTAAGGCCTGAAGTTACATACAGTCTCGTGTTTGAGCTTACTGTAGTAAGGGAAGATCTCAGGGCATCCAAGCGACATGTATTTGCAAGGTAGCTCTAGTGATTCCGCTACTTTCTCCAGTGCCAAACAACGGATGTCACCGAGCTCTTGTCTACAAGTTGGACACCGATTGTGAACCCTGGTTTTACAGGTTGAACATAGAGTATGCCCATTGTGACACTGCAGAGGAAAATCAAATCATTGTGTTAAGAGTTTTTCTTCTCATGATTCTCGTTCTCTAATGGAGACAATAAGAATCTACAAGTGGGTATCAAAGCTATTAAGATAACGTTATCAAGGATTGTTCTTGCATACAAAGATATCAAATCAATGCAGTACAAAAGCACAAAACCATGATACTGTGAATAGACAGTTTCAATGATGAAATTTGATACAAAAGCTAAATTTCATAAATTTGGAACTCAAATCAAATACTTCCATTTTCAAGTTTCTTTTCATAAATCAAATGCTTCCAATTTCAAGTTTCTTTTCAAAGGCCAAATAAGCAAGAGAGTAGGAGAAAAGCTTATAGATTTGGGAATGATTCGAATCAGAAACTCAAAACCCTAAAAGCAATCAACAAAGAAAGAGATCAGGTGAAGAAGAGACCTGGTGAATTGGAGGGTACATGGAATTGGTGCAGACGGGACATTCGAGAAGCTCATGGACACTGGTGGTGGTTGGAAGAAGCCCAGAAGCAGCATTCGCGTTGCTGTTGTTACTGTGATGCTTCGAGACGGAGGCGTAAGAATGGCGATCTTGTTGGATCTCTTCACCATCTGTCACATCCATGATTGAAGTACAGTCCATGCTATCCAAATCCATGGAAACCCCCGAAAAAAAAAAAAAAATCTCGAAGAAAGGTGAGAATTTGATTACTCTCCGATCGAGACGAAGATCAAATCGGATTCACAGATGGGTGAAATGAAGACCACCGAAAGAGGTCAACCGTGGTGAAGTATAAATTTGAAAGAAAGAGAGATGCTTTTCTTCATGAATTCGAGAGAGAGAGAGTTGCCGTCAAATAAACCGGAAACGCTGATTTAAAATCGGACGGTCAGGAAGGCGACTGTAGTAGAGAGAATGTTAATGAGAGAAATGAGAAAATTGAATTATGAGAGATACAGAAGAATTTACAGGATCGGGGAAATTAATCATTTAATAATAATATCCTCTTACTCAATGATTTCTTCGTTTTCCTTATTTAAATACGAAAGTATTGCTTAAAAAATTACCATGGTCCAGTAAAGATGGGCCTAATCATGTACATGGTGCACATGATTGCTCTTTTCTGTTATTTACGTGTTTTCTCGTTGTCAGATTTTGATATGTTTTTGACATTTTGGATTCAAAAATAATTTTTATACAAACAAAAACAAAATTACTCGAGAAAACTATAAACTAGGAAATTTCGTAAGTTGCACAATCTTGTCAAAATATTTAAAATTGTGATAATTTAATCGTCAAAGAAACTTAAAGAATATGAAAAGCATGCTCATCTTTCTTTTTAACTTAAAGAGATGTTTTTAGATAAATTTAGACGTTAAGAAATATGAAATCATAATGGGAATTAGTAATGCGATGTGGCTTGGGTTCAAAGTCACTTAAAAAGACCAAATGATAATGTAAAAGAACATTTTACTCCTCTTAATCTTGATCTCACGCAAACTCGCAATTTCTTTGAGGATTAAAGAAAACTATTCCATGAATTATTGGTCTCATGATAGTGATCATCCTTAAAGACACACGACACACAAAAGAAAAAGCGAACAACAAACGATCCAGCTCTCATGATCTGTCATCACTTTTTAACAGAACATGTCACTGTACAATCCTCTTTCTGTTGTGTTTTTGTCTATGAAAATAAAAAAGCTTCACAGAATCTGAGACTTGACTTAAGAACTATTTCTACATTAGAAGAGATTAATCACTCCAGAATCTATCCATTAGCTTTCATTTTTACATGAAAGAATCAAATGTAAAGCCTTTCAGGATCAGAAAACGACTAACCTAGAAATTATTTTGTTACCACTTACCACTGGTTAGCCGCTGTTTCCCGGAACTTCTCATCATCACCATGAGGCAACTGATTCGGTTTATTACCTTTTACCCGGTTACTAAACAGTCTCTCCGATATTCTATCTTTAGCCGTTGTTTTCTTGCGCCTCGTCGACGAAAAGGTTTGTTTCTTGTTTTTTCTTTCAGCCAAAACTCTATCAAACTGTTCATCAAGAGCATCTGATCTAGAAGTTGTGGCCATAGCAGCATCACGCATCACTGAGAAATTATGTTCCTTGACCTTATCCTTAACAATCTTCGCTCTCTTCTTCATGACTTCTTTGTCTTTCTCCCGGATATTCCTCAGAGCCTGTTTCGCTATTTGCCTAGCTAACTGGTTAGGATCAGAACCCGAAGCTATTTCATCCATTGGCACGTCCTCGTTGGTCCCTGAAGTTTGGTTTTCATTCTTCTCAATTATGGGGTTTCCTGCATCATCCCGAGGTACAATGGGTCCGTGAAACGGGCAGGCTCGTAGATCTCTTCTCTGGCAAAGAGCACCTTTCTTTAGAGGAGCATGGCATGGATGTATCTCTGTTCTCTCTTCTCTATAAACACTTGCCTGAAGATTTAACTCTGCTATTTTATCTGCTGGAATCACAGCATCTTCATCCACTCTTCCCCAGTGGCTCTCGAGCTCTAAGCCTCGGTGGTTAGCTCGAACTTCCGAAGTTGAGTCCCAGTTACTCAGCTGTGATCCCCAATTCATCACTGGCGCTTCAGATATTAGCTTATCCCTAACAGAGTCCCCACTTCTTCCAACTTTTCTAGTGCTCGGTGCTTTATAAGACCTAGATGCTGATGTAATAGACCTATTTGCTACAGTTGATGATGATTGGAGAGCTGGAGCCACGCTCTGTACTGAATCAGCTCTAACCTCGCCATCATCCTCCTCCCAGAAATCTTCTTCTTTAGTTGTTGAAATTGTAAAACCGGCTTCTTCACATCTCTTCTCCGTCGCCAATATGCTATTCCTGATATCGATAAACTCTTTCAACATGGAATCTCTCGTCCTGTTATCACTTGCATCAACCTCCATGAGAAGAGAGATCCCTTTTTCAACGGAGACCCGATGCTTTGTCACTAGAAGCTTGCACTGTTCCCTCAACACATCGAACACCACTCTGTTTTCACTAGTTTCTTCAACCTTATCGGATTGCTTCAGTGAATCAAGACGGATTTGCTGCAGATAAGAACAACGGATCTCCTCGTACTCTTCCTCATCTAAGATATCAAGAGGAACACCATCGTCTCCTCTCCACTGAACAATTTCCAGACACTCCTTGATCTCCTTTATCGTTTCGTCAATCTCATCCTTTAAGACTCCAAAAGAATCCCTCAAGGAATCAAACTTTTTTCTCAGAATCTCTTTCGCCTTCATATCTCTCGCCTGTCTCTCTCGTTGAATCCGTGCAGCATTTGCCTGCATATCAGGGAACTTGATCTTGAGTGTGTTCTTAAGGTAATCAAAACCCAGCCTGAGCTCCTTGTAATGCAACCCAAATGACAAATTCCACTTCTCCAAGAACTCAATAGCCTTTTTACGCAAATTGTTGGCAATATCTAGAGGTGCAGGACGAGGCTGATCGCGTCTAAACCCAATACTTAAACTCAGCAGCTGCTCGAGATTCTCGATGATAAGGGCTCTAAAGAGCTTTGACCTCATGAAAAGCTCGTCGATTATGAGAAGCGTCAGATATCGAACCTGCCAACGAAAATTATCCTCATATTGATCAATCACCATTCCTTATTGAAACAAACAGAAATTGTATAAACAATGTGATACACAGTTCCTAATTTGCAGCTTTGATCAATCAACGAACACGAAGATAAAAAAAAAGAAAATTACGAAGACCTGAGAGTGCTTATGTTTCATGAGCTCCATTAGGGTTCGCGCACCGAGCCGGACCTCCGAATCAGAATACCGAAGAGTAGATTTGATCGCCTTGAGCAGCCTCGGGTCAACCTCTTCGGCGGTCGGTTTCGTCGCTGTTTCAATCAACCCTATAATTTTCCCTCCGCCGTCATCTCTCCCTTCCATCATCGCCGGCAATTGAGAAATCTCCTTCTAGTTTCCGAAAAGGGCAAAATCTCAAAAATAAATTTCCGATCGATCAATTTTTCACTAGTGTTGGTTTAATATCTATTTCTACTGGCTAGTCGGTTCGGTTTACTTGGTTCTCATTTTCTGTAGAATGACGAATTTGCCCCGCTTTACGATGATCCGTGCAGCAGATTTTTGATGGGTGTTTATGTAACTGTACGATAAAGATCGTTATATTCGTTAATATAGTTCTGAAAAACTCCCACCAAAAATCACTCCAACCTAGTCGAGAAGACGGAAAACAGAGAGAAAACCAGATTTGATGATGATGATGACGATGAAGATGACGACGCAATACACTTTCTGGATTCTCTTGATCTTCTCCATCTTAATTGCTTCTTGCTCCACGATTCTAGCTCTAGGAGGTAAAATTTGTTACGAAATACACAAGGCTCATTTCACTGCGTTTTCTTGTTCCTCATCTTTTCTCTCGCTTTCCTTCACTTTCTCGCTTGCTTTCCAGGTCCAGGAATCGGAACCAACTATGGCAAATACGGCTCCAACCTTGGCGGTAATCTATTGATATTATTGTGATTCCCGAGAAAATTTGATAGAAAATCTCTTCTCTTCCACTCTAATTGAGTTTCTTGTTCGTTCTTCTTCATCACTTTCTCGCTTCTTTTTCCAGTTCCAGAAATCGGAATCAACTATGGACGTTACGGCTCCAATCTTCCTCCACCCGAAGCCCTCCCATCGCTAGTCAGCTCTCTCTCCATCAAACATGTCAAAACCTTCGACATGGATCCACGAGTCACCAAATCCTTCGCCAACACCGGAATCTCTCTCTCCCTCTGCATCCCCAACGACAAGATCCCAATTCTAGCCTCAAATCTCTCCGAAGCCGAATCAATCATCAGGAATCTCATCTTGCCTTACCACAAGAACACCATCATCACTTCAATCTCCGTCGGGAACGAGGTCTCGCTACTGCCGCAATTCTCCGGCAAACTCGTCCCGGCTATGGTGAACGTTCACAGAGCAATCAAGAGATACCGATTGCACAAGAAGATCAAAGTCTCCACGACGCATTCCCTCGCGATTCTCTCCAGACGATTCCCTCCGTCGACTGCGGTTTTACACAAATCGATCGCCGAATCGGTTTTGAAACCACTCCTGAGGTTTCTCCAGCGAACGAATTCTCCTCTCATGGTGAATGTGTATCCATACCTCGCGTACAAGCAATCGTACCCTTCGATTCCACTGGATTTCGCTCTGTTTCAGCCGGAGAACAGCCCCAAACGCCGGAGATACACCGATCCGTACAGTGGAATCGCGTACACCAACCTGTTCGACATAATGCTGGATTCTGTTGACTCCGCAGTGAAATCCCTGGGATTACCGAAGATTCCGGTGGTTGTATCGGAGATCGGGTGGCCGACGAGTGGAGATCCCGGCGAGGCAGCTGCTAGTTTGGAGAATGCTAGGGTTTTTAACCAGCGGCTTGTTGAGCATCTTAGAAGAAGGTGGAATAAGGTTCCTGTGTATATCTTTGCTCTGTTCGACGAAGATCAGAAAACCGGAGCCGCCGTGGAGAAACACTGGGGATTGCTGTTTGGGAACGGCTCGAGGAAATATGATCTGAATATCTAGCCGCCGATTTGAAGTTTGAACGTCGCAAAATGGGAAGACGATGGCAAATTGGTCATTGTACTCATCGAATCGATACTTCTACAGGCTTTTGTTTTCGTTTTGGATTTCTTGTATTGTTACGGGCCTTGTTACAGCATATTAGCACACTGGCCTTTTCAAAATAACAAATACAAAAAAAAAAATAGAAAATTATTAATGAGTGGAGATAATTGACTAATTGAGTCATACACTCACACTGTATGTTCTTCATTTGTCCGATATGTCACGTGCAAGATGAAAGATTCGTGGACTTCGAGTCATTTTTCTGGTATCTAACAAGACATTTGTCCCGGAATAAATCGGAACTGCAAATTGTCATCATTTTTTATCTTCAAAGAGAGCTGTGTGGGTTAAACACTTAAACCAACCAAAAATTATAAAATTAACGATTTTTTTTTATGGATGACAGACAATTACTTATGAATATTTTGGTTACTCAGATACTTTATAACCAGCTGGCCATGTGTATTATTTTCTACCGCTTCAGCTAGGCCTGGGCGTTCGGATTTCGGTTCGGGTTCGGATCGCTAAATTTTAGACCCGTTCGGGTTTAGGAAAATTTCGGTTCGGTTTCGGTTCGGTTCCTGTCGGGTTCGGGTCGGTTCGGGGCTAAATTTTATGGACCCGTTCGGGTTTATACAAATTTTGGTTCTTATTGGGATCTCATTCGGTTCTGATTCGGGTCGGTTTTTATCGGTTTTTTTAACCGAATATCCAAAATCCTACAAAATAACCGATAAAATCTTGTTATAATCCATCTTCTACTAAATATTTTTGGACTTTTCGAATATTTTGTTATTTTGTTCTAAATATAACTATTATATTAGATTTATAATTGTAATTTTAGTTATTTTTTAGTATTATAAGCTATTATAAGTCTAAAAAATAACTAATATTTTGGATATATAATTATATTTTGGATATTTCGGGTACCCATTCGGTTCTCGGTTCGGTTCGGATTCGGGTTCGGTTTTTCGGGTATAAATTTTTGGACCCATCGGGTATTTGTCTTGGTTCCAGGTTCGGTTCGGGTCTTTCGGGTCGGGTAAAATGCCCAGGCCTAGCTTCAGCTTTATCTATAGAGTCTACTATGTATATGTTCATCTGATAATGACTTTTATTTTGGTATGAGATAATGACTTTTTATGCTGACTTACCAAAACTAAATATAAAAAAAAAATAGTAACGCTTTAGGACCGGAGTATAAAAATGACTGATCACATCTCCACTAGAGTAAGAGGAGATCTTTGCGGAGGAAACAGCGGGAAAGTAGTGGGTATGAAACTGGTGGCTCGTTCGGTGGTTGCATTATTCGGACTGTGTGGGTCCATGTGCCGCACTTTGTCCTGTATCGTTTTCGAGAATGATTTTTATTTTTATCTCGTTTCTGATTATTGATCTTAACCAGCTTACTTGCAGATGAGGAAATCATTTTGTTTCACGTGTCAAAGTAGACGCTGCTTTCTTAAAACACGTAAAACCAAAACTGTTTGATCTCCACCCTCTCTCACTCACATGGAGAGAAAAAAAACAAGAGCATAGGTCCACCTTGATTTGATTATAGAAGTGGCGTTTTCGATATGTTTACACAGGCATAACAAAATTATGGAGATGCACCGAACCGATACTAGTGGTAATGAAGAATAATAAGGAAGCGACAAAAATTAACTAGTAATATGAATAATTTTGTCTAGTGGTAATGCAAGCTGTGAAGAAGATTCATGGAATTTTGTTTAAAAACTAAGTCATGTATCAATAATCCAGGTGAGCTAGACTAGTGGTAGACATAATTAAGGTAAACTTCTAAATGGTAGTGCAGATTACTTTTATAAAAGCGTATACATATTTTTGGATTAGTTGTTTAGTGATGAGTGTCTCAATCTATGGCAGTGCTAGTGTGCTACACAGTTGGAGAATTGCAGAATGCTTTCTTTTCGTCAAAAGATCATTACTCTAAAGCTTGTTTTTGACGCTTGGTGCTTAGTAAAGAAAATCTGTAGTGTTACCCATTATTTCATTTTGCTTTTGGTAAACGTATAAGAGAAGTAGAGAACAACCTTTAGGGCATCTCCAACCCACACACCATATTTGGTGTTGCTCCTACACCAAATTTGGTGTTTTGGTGTTCTACTTTTTTTTTCAACTCCAACCACAAACACCAAATCTCACACTAAAAAGAATATTCTTTTATATTATATTATTAAATTTAAGATTCTTTTATTTTTCTAAAAAGTTTTAATGAATGCTTAATTATTCAAAACTAATTCATTATTAAATTAATACAAATTACAATTCAGAATTTAGAAATAATAAAAACAAATTACATCATATCATACTAATTTTCAGAATTAGTATATTCAGACCACAAATGTTCAATTAATGCATTTCGAAGTTCAATATGCGCTTCACGATCTTTGATTTTTTTGTGTCGAGCTAAAAATTCTTGAAATTGAACATCATCATCACCAGTCCTCTCAACATCCGCAATTGGAACTTCAGCTCGTTCTTCAATATGTGCATCATCAACACGTTCATCTTCTATGATCATATTATGCATTATAATACAAGTTGTCATAATATCATGTAACACTTCCTTATTCCAAAAGCGTGATGGCCCGGCAACAATTGCAAATCTTGACTGCAATACTCCAAATGCACGTTCCACATCCTTTCTACATCCTTCTTGCTTCTTTGCAAATAATTTCTTTTTTGGACCACGTGGTTGATGAATTGTTTGAACAAGAGTGGACCATTTTGGATATATACCATCAGTTAGATAATATCCCATATTATAGTTTTTCCCATTAATAACATAATTAGCAGGTGGAGCCGTTCCTTCAGCTAGATTAGCAAAAAGATGAGACGCTTCTAGCACATTAATATCATTGTTAGTTCCTGGTAGACCAAAGTATGCATGCCAAATCCAAAGATCATAATCAGCTACAGCTTCTAAAATAATTGTAGGAGATCCACTCCGACCAGCATATTGTCCTCCCCAAGCAGTTGGGCAGTTTTTCCATTTCCAATGCATACAATCTAAACTACCCAACATACCTGGAAATCCTCGGCTTTCACCAATGCGAAGTAGCCGTGCAACATCGTTAGCGTTAGGTGATCGAAGATAGCGGTTGGAAAACACCTCGACAATAGCACGGCAAAATTTCTTCAAACTTTCTATAGCCGTAGACTCCCCTATTTTGATATACTCATCAGTAGAATCCGCCGGTAAACCGTATGCTAACATTCGAAATGCAGCAGTGATTTTTTGCAAACCAGACAACCCAAGTTTACCGAGACCGTCTCTTTGCTGGACAAAGTGATTGTCATGTCTTTGTATAGCATCGAAAATACGGAGAAACAAGGGACGGCTCATTCGAAATCTTCTTCGAAACATTGTCTCGGAAAAAAGAGGGTTATCTGAAAAATAGTCATTAAAGAGATTGCGAGCAGCATTTTCCCGGTCACGATTGATAACTATATGACCAGGAATTGATCCGCGATGAGAACCCTCAGAATTAAATAGATTTTGAGTGATGAGAAAATTAGTATTTGCAGTGATTTGAGTTACTGCCTGCTTTTCGATATCATCGTAAAATTCATCATCAGATGAAGAAGAAGAAGAAGAAAAATTTGTATAAGATGAACTACCATAGTTGAAATTCATGATTTTGAGAAGAAAGTAAAGATGATATGCATTTTAGTCTCAAGACAAGGAACCCATTTTATAGTGTTAGAAATTATCACTTTCAATTATCTTTTTTATTCAATCAGAAAATACGATTAAATCTAAGTCGTTGAATTTGTTCAGCCAAGATCTAACCGTTGCATTGATTAGTCACCTCATAATTTTTTTTTGAAATCAGAACTATACGAATAAATCTAGGCCGTTAAAATTATTCGGCAAAGATCTAACCGTTGCATTGATTAGTCACTTCTAGCTTTTTATCAATCAAAAAAATAAGACTAAATCTAGGCCGTTGAAATTGTTCGGCCAAAATCTAACCGTTGCATTGATTAGTCACTTCACGCTTTTTTATCAATCAGAAAAATAAGACTAAATCTAAGCCGTTGAAATTCTTCGGCTAAGATCTAACCGTTGCATTCACTAGTCGCTTCATACTTTTTATCAATCAGAAAAATACGACTTAATCTAGGCCGTTGAAATTATTCGGCCAAAATCTAACCGTTGCATTGATTAGTCACTTCAAGCTTTTTTATCAATCAGAAAAATAAGACTAAATCTAAGCCGTTGAAATTCTTCGGCTAAGATCTAACCGTTGCATTCACTACTCACTTCATGCTTTGTTATCAATCAGAAAAATAAGACTAAATCTAGGCCGTTGAAATTGTTCGGCTAAGATCTAACCGTTGCATTCACTCGTCACTTCATGCTTTTTATCAATCAGAAAAATACGACTAAATCTAGACCGTTGAAGTTGTTCAGCGAAGATCTAACCGTTGATTTGTTTCTTCAGTTCTCTATATAAATGTATACTACTCTTTGAATGATCACACATCTTACAGTCACTTACTTACCACAAATATTTCTTTTGCAATGGCTTCACCTCGATCTGCTTCATATTCTATGGAAGAAGATATTCATTTATGTCATGTGTATCTTGATATTTCTCAAAATCCAATCATTGGGATAAATCAATCAGGAGATCAGTTTTGGAGGAGGGTTTTTGTTGAATATGATAAATCTGAGATTTTTCGTAATCAACCAAGACCACAAAGATCCTTAGAAACCCGAATGGCAAAAATTCTTTCTGCAGTCTCCAAGCTGAGGGGATGCGTTAACCAGATTGAAAATAAAAATCCAAGTGGTGCTTCCGACCAAGATATTGTAAGTATATATTTGAACTATTTCTAATTTTTGTCATTTTTCTTTGTTTTATTTGCTAACATGTTTATGTTTTTTCTTATAATATTAATCAGTTAAACCAAGCAAAGATGTTGTT